TGGTTTTTAATTTTTGTCATTTGCATTTCATTTTGTCCCTCCTTTGGCATCTTTCCTTTAACGATTCTATTCAACTATTTCTTTGATATTAGTGTAATTCTTGTCCGGTGGCAAGTTGGCCAGTGGTGAGTTGGCTGCAGCAACTTGCCACGGTGAGTTGTCATAGACCCATCCCAGAGGGCATCTGGTGGGACATAGAGAGAAGCAATATGGTGGAACAAGATGAACCTTGACCTAATCATACTGTGTTTCCCTGAAAATAAGACCCTGTCTTATATTTTTTTGAACACCAAAATAAGCGTTTGGCCTTATTTTAGGGGAGGTCTTATTATTTTGGGGCACATGGAGCAAGATGGGGCTCCTCTTGCCGTCTTACCTGATTTCCAGCTCTGCGTTTAAATATTTTTGGGGAGGGCTTATTTTTGGGGGGAGGCTTATTTTAGCAGATGCGCTCATAAGCCCGATTGGGCTTATTATCAGGGGATGTCTTATTTTCGAGGAAACAGGGTAGATTCGTAGGATTGGAGAGAACCCATGAACTTAAAGCAGAAGTCCTTATACCATCCTGGACAAATAGTTGTATCAGTGGTGGTATTCAGGTGGTTCTATCCGGTTTGGGCAAACCGGTAGCAGCAGCTGCGGGAGGCTCTACCCACCCACCCGGACATCATCACGTCCTGTTTTTGACGCTCTGTGCATGCGCGGAAGGTTCTGTGCGCGAGAGCTCATATTTGGAAATGGGTAGCGAAGGTAAGTGAATACCACCCCCGAGTTGTACCATCCTGGACAAATAGTGTCCTATCTTTTCTTGAAAAGTTCCAGTAATGGAGCACTCACAGCTCTGGGATGTAAGCTGTTCCATTAGTTCATAGTACTCACTGTCAGGAAATTCCTCATTTCCAGCTTGGATCTCACTCTGAGGAACTCCAACTGTCAACATACATATACTCACATGCTCCGTTTAGGATGCACACTAAGGACACAATTAGGTCTCAGAGTAAAGCTATGGATGGAGGTGGAAAGCACTTAGTTTACTCTCCTCCAGTTCTCACTTGTGGGAGCATCTAACAATATAAAACACACTAAATTTACCACGTGTTCCCTGCAATTCCAGAAAAATTCAGAAGGCCATGAAGTCACTAGGAGGAAAATAGCAGGGTGCCAAGACTTCTTGTGTGTGATTTGACAAACCTCATGGTTTTAGGATTGCCAGGTCTGCTTCCAAAAAATAGCGGACAAGCGGGGGGAGGGGGTGTTAAGTAGTAAAAAAATAAAAAAAAATTACAATTAAATTATATATTTTCTTACAAACATTTTAACACGTATTAAAATAATCACTTCAAAACTTTACTTAAAATTCAAAACATCAAATATATTATAATAATATGTAAAATATTAAATTATATTTTACTTTGCTGCGATGTGTATTTTTTATTTGACTGCACAGCTTTGATCAATTCTTTGTGTTTAAGGAATAATTCTTTAATTTCAGTATAACGTTGAGAAATATTAAAAAATATACAAAGTTCACTTCGAACTGATGGTACAAGCAGTCGGTTACGTTCGTCAGTCCACAAATTTCCCATGACACTGAAAATTCGTTCAACGTTTGCATTTGATACCGGAATTGATGCACAATACTGGAACAGTTTCAGTAAACTCGGAGCTGGCTCTTTCTTGAAAAAGTACGTCCACTTATCAAGGGATGAATCGCCCTGCAGATAAACATAAACTTCTTCTAAGGCAGAAATTTCATCGAAGAGAGTGTTGGGTGGAAGTTCTTCTCGCCACGGTGATAATAACCAGATGTTCGTCATTTCTTCTAAAGTTGGAGGATTATTGCGATCAATTAGATTGAAACAACTTAGTGTCTCATATACTGAATCGGTGAAATTATACCACTTTTCTAGGTACACAATGGCTCTTTGATACACGTTGATGGCTCCTTTCTTGAACTTTTGCAGGGCATTCTCAGGCAAATGTTTTTTACGTAAGACAAATAAAACTTTCATTCCAAAAAACTGCTCATCGTATTTTTTTTGCAAAGAATCACGCAGCTTACACATGATAATGTGAAGATCACATGCAAGAATTTTCTTGCTTTCCAGCTTCAGTAGGGTGTCTTGCATTATTGACATGAAGAAGTGCATGAAATATAAATACAATTCTGAAATTGTTGGTTCATCATCCTTTGCGAGTTCATTTTCCTGATCCGAAATAAGGTTCCAGATAACCTTATGGCACTCATCAGATCCAAGAGAAATAAAATACGATTTTAGAGGTATCCAGTTTAAAAGAAGTCTTTCGACTGCTTTAAACAAACTTACCCAACGTGTTGGAACATGGTGCAAAATTCTGACTCGCAAAAATCAAAAAATGATTTCAACTTTTCTCGTTTCTTCGCAGAATTCGAAAATTCGGCAAAAATCTTCAGCACTACATTTTTGATATCAAAAGATAACTGCTTTAATGCATTTTTTGTGCTGTTGTGTAAAATGTGATTATTGCAATGAGCAGCTATGCTCATCAGCTATCATTGTCATTTTCCAGCAATAATTTTTGGTAAACAGATTTGTTCACTCCATAATTGACCGATGCATTATCTGCTGAGTAAGCTGAAACATTATTTATTTCCAATTCATTATCACTAAGAACTCGACACAGCTGATTTTTTATTGATGTAGAATCTTTGAAAGAATCCTCATAAAAGTCTAAAATTTTCACACACAGTCCTTCTTCACAAGTAAAATATTGTGCAACAATGGGATACATTTTGCGATTTCCCTTGTTTGATGCGTCAGTGGAGAGAGAAAATGGAATTCCAGTTTTAAGATAATTGAGAACCAACTCAATAGAAAAAGGATACAAAACCTCATTGACAATAGCTGATGATTTGGTTCTTCCACAAGACATCCTTTTTACAATTTCTGAATCATCAAAAATTTGCTTCATTAACTTAATACTGCAATCTTGAGCCAGGAAAGAAATATGGTGTTTGATCCCATGGTAAGTTTCAGCCATTTCAGCTACAGTCACTTTCTCACTGAAAGAGGAGTCTTTAACAATGAAAAACGAATTGATTCGCTTGTTGCTGGAAGCTATTTTCTCCTTATCTAAATGATTTTTTGTGTTTGCATGCTGTGTGACAGCTTTTATACCATTATATTCAATTGTGAACGATTTCTGACACAATTTACAGTAGGCCGTCGTATTTGTTCTGTCGGTTTCGTTGTTGGTAATCCATGCAAAAGTAGCTTCCCAGTCTTTGGTGTATTTGCACACTCCTCTCTTTCGTTTTAAAGAATTTGAAATCTCGCTGCTGTCACTCTCATCACTTGACGCCATTTTAGGTCAGTCGACACAAGCTACAATACATTTTAAAAATGTGAACTGTACATAATTTTATAATATATTTTTACTTTAATCTCATCATTAATTTTTTCGGAGAATCGAGTTCAATGGATATTCGATCTTTGTCTCATTCTAACTTATGAAAAAAAAGACAAAACGCGATTCTTCTATCCTTATTCTCTTAGACTGTACAGCTTTAGATTACGTACCATTTCATCATAAAGCTTTTGAATAAAAAAAAAGTCCACTATTTTGTGAAAAAAAATAGTGAACATAAGTGAAAAAAGCGGACTGTCTGCTCAAATAGTGGACACCTGGCAAAGATACATGGTTTCCTAACAGCAATTTTGCTTAGATTGTTTCTACGTAACCAAGATTTTTCTACAGCCGTAGCTCAGTGGAGCTAGATCTATATAAGTCTCTCACTAGGCAGCATAGGGCAGCATAAGGCCTGCTGGCTGCCAGAAGAAAAAAGCCCAGAATTGAGTGGATGTGACTCCACTGAGCTAGGGCTGTAGAAAATCTGTAGAAAAATCTTGGTTACGTAGGAAAAACCTGGCTAAAAGAAAAACACACATAAAACCTACAAAAAGTAAGAATATATATATATATATAGATTGAAAATCAACTCCCATTCTTAGATGTATTAATATATAAGAGAACTGATGGCACCCTAGGACATAGTGTCTACCAAAAGAAGACACACACAAATAGATACCTAAACGCACACTCACACCATCATCCCTCACAAATAAATTCAGTAGCAAAAACTTTAATCACTAGAACTAAACGTCTAGCAGATGAGGCACATGTACAAACAGAGCTTCAGACTTTCACAGAGGTATTAATAGCAAATGGGTTCCACGAAAATAAAATTAAAAGTATAATTTGACAAGGGACATCAGGACAGAGAGAAACCCAAGAAGAAGAACAAAAGATGGGAAAAGCCATCCTGCCCTATATAAAAGGAACCACCGATAAAATTAGCAAGATACTACAGAAACAAAAAATAAAAACTGTGTTCCGCACAGATAGAAAAATATCAATGATGTTGAGAAACCCCAAAGATAAAATTGAGCTGGAAAATCAAGGAATATATGAAATACCATGTACCTCCTGTCAGTCAGATTATATTGGACAGACGAATAGACAAATAAGTGTGCGTTTAGAAGAACATAAAAATGCAGTGAAAAAGGAAGAGCAAACTTCTTCTTTGGTACAACACATGAAGGCCACAGGACATAATATAGATTTCAACAAGGCTAGAACAGTGGTAAAAGAGGAACATCTTAATAAGAGAATAATTAGGGAGGCTATCGAAATTGAAAAGAGGCCACACAATATGAGTAGACGAGATGACGCCTCTAGGTTATCAAGTATTTGGAAACCTGCACTGAGGGAAACTCGAATTTTAACATCAGAGGATAGGCAGAGATCCCAACAGGCAACCAGTGGTGTTGTAATGCATACAAAAACCCTTTCCTCTTTGCAGTTGATAGCTAGCAATAGGGAGAGAGAGAGAACCAAGCCAGAAGATATGCTAAGATCTCAACAGGCAACCAGTGGTGCTGTGATGCCTACTAGAATTCTTACCTCTTTGCAGTTGACAGTTGGTAATAGGGAGCCAGAGGAAACTGGACCGTTAACACACATTCAGGCCGCAGCTAGGATAATGAAGCATGACCCACAGCTTCTAAACTGATAATAAAGGCCCGAAGACGACAAGGTAGAGAGCTTGTTGAAACGTTGCCTAACCTTAAAGTGTTGGTTAGGATTTCAGCCAGAGTTTTTGAAAAACCTTAAAAAGGTTTTTGTTTGGGAATTTAGAGGATTCTGAGCTGTGATCTTAGCCAGGATTTTAAACATTTTAACTAACAAACTTATAATGACGCGGGAAAACACCCGAGATTTTAACTTTTTACACACACACACACACACACACACACACACACACACACACAGACAGACATATATATATATATATATATATATATATATATATATATATATATATATATATACACGCAAAAAACTAAAATCTCGGGTGTTTTCCCGCGTCATTGTAAATAAGTTGGTTAAAATATTTAAAATCCTGGTTAAAATCCAAGCTTAAAATCTTCTAAAAATTCTTACAGAGCACTCTGCAAGGTCCTTTAAAACCTCAGCTAAAATCCTACCTTGCAGATTTTTGTAAGGATTTTTAGAAGATTTTAAGCTGGGATTTTAACCAGGATTTTAAACATTTTAACCAACTTATTTACAATGACGTGGGAAAACACCTGAGATTTTAATTTTTTGCATATGCACACCCGCGAAAACTTAAGAAGACATATATATATATATATGTATATGTATATATATATATTATGTTTTCTGAGGTTTTCGCGGGTGTTTGTATGTAGGTCTTTGGTTATTCGTGTTTTCTCCCGCGTGAAATTGGTTGTCAAGAAACCTCCAATTTCACGCGGGAGAAAACCCGAATAGCCAAAGACATACATACATACATACATACATACATACATATATATACACACACACATATATATATACCTCCATTTTACATGCAAAGCCATCATCTAGGTAAATATATATATATATATATATATATATATATATATATATATATATATATATATATATAATATATATATATATATATATATATATTTACCTAGATGATGGCTTTGCATGTAAAATGGAGGTGGGTCTTTTATGAAGCGGTAACATTGGCTTTTTTTTTGACCTCCCTCCTGTAGATACCCCTGGACTCTTAAGTATCCTCAGGTGTTACCTTCACCAAAGGCAGAAGGTTGAGATATAACTAGTTCTGCAGATTTTTAACTTCCCAAATTCCTTCCAGTCAAGCTTCAACACTGCCCACCCCCCAAAAAAATTTTTTTCCTCAAGAAACCACTCTTCCAGATGTTACAGTTAAATCATATTTATTTTTCTCTGCAAGCAGCACACACCCCGCCGTGCTCTCCACACATTTTTTGTAAGCCCACCTGAAAAAATTAATTTTTGTGGAAAATAAAGTCGGATAAGGAAGTGATGCCCTTTAACTGCTCCAATTGTACCATTCTTTCTCGACAGACGTGGTGTAGATTTCACACTCAACAGGCTGACTGTCTGAGCATGCTCAGCGAGACCCAGGTGTGACCTTTTGCTCTTTTGTAAGCAACATTTGGGTCAGGCAATCCATCATGGTGTCCCTGCTGTCAGATCTGGTGCTTTCCTGCAGCCGTCTGTCACCGGGGTAGATGGAACCTGCTTAGAGGCAATCCTGTCAAAATCTATGTGTCTACTCACGCTCAAGCAGAAGGATGCTTTATGACAGGCCCAGCAAAGTCAGCAGGAGATACTGGAGGACTCTGATTTGCACTTCCTCTTTCTTTCCCTTCGACCAATTGAACGCTGTGGGTGTCTGTGTGGGTGTGCGGTGCGTACCACTACTTGGGTTGATCTGCAGATGCAAATGGAAGATGTGTTGGGTAGCACATGCCAACAGCTAGGGCAATGTAGACCTTTTGGTCTCAAAGCTGGTCATCACGAATGAATCGGTTGCCTTCTGAATGCTTCCCATAGTAGATATAGCGGCATTTCCCCAGAACACCTGCAGCAGAGAAAGAGAAGCAGAAATACTGTGATATGTATATTGTGAGCCCTTACAGGGGAGAGGAATAAAAACAATGAGTATAAAAATTGAGTTTCCTCCAATCTTGTATTTGAGTATTCAGTCTCTTATGGGCTAGACCAGATTAGGTTTTCTGTTTTATCTTTGAGGCAAATGAACAAGAAAATACTTCTTTCCCAGAGCTGGCATTCACTTATTTTCCCTACCAGTTCGCAAGTGTGAGCTCACGCGCACTGCGCTTGCACTAGCCACCTCCATGCATGTGTGTGGCCTTCCACGCATGCGCTGTGCTCATGTGCATGGCTTGCACGTATGCGTATGGCTCAGGGGTGGGTTCTACTTACCTTTACTACCGGTTTGCAACAGGGCCAAGCACATGTGCTCGCTACGCTTGTGCGTGCTCTTCTGCACAAGCGCAGAAGCTCTGAACTACTCAAAATTTCCACCGCCTGTTCTCCAGAACTGGTCAGAACCTGCTGAAACCCACCTCTGATTCAGACCACATGTAGCTATCTAGCATGGCAAGCACTTTTAGCGAATAGAACAGGAATCCATGATCTCTGCTCTTCTCTTGAAGAGAATTGATGATCAAGAATCAAGGTTGAATTAGATTAGGTAAAAAGAAAATATATTAATGGATATAATGTATCAATTTTTATTAAGATGTTGGATGGTATCATTTGAGAAAAATGATAGCTATAATAATTGGGATATTGTTTAAATACGTATAACAATTGTAATAATTTGAACATTTTTTACTTAAGCAAAAAAGAAAAGAAAATTGAAATAATATATGATTATTATTTATAAACAAAAATTACTTAATTGGTGTTTATATACAGTATGTGATTTAAGATTAAGAAATATGTGTAATGGCAAACTAGAATATATAAAATTTTGTTAAAGATGACAAAAAATTGAACAAATTGATGACCGGGCCAAAGCTCTGTTCCGAAAAGATGTAATTTGTATGTTTGGAAAAAAAAAATCTTTTTGCAAAAAAAAAAAAAGAAGAAGAAAAAGAAAAAAGAAAGAATTATCCATGCAGAGAACAAAGTCACTTAAAGAACAATGCTCTCATGTTAACCTGAGTTCAGGATACTTGTTACAATACAACATACAACATAGAACAGGACTCTCCAATCTTGGCAACTTTAAGATTTATGGACTTCAACTCCCAGAATTTCTCAGCCAGCAAAGCCACTTTTCACAAAGTCCACAAGTCTTAAAGTTGCCAAGGTTGGAGACCCTTGACATAGAACATCTGTCACGCATTTTTAATTTAACCTTTAAAAGACCAAACTTTCCTTCAAATCAAGTTTAGTTTCTGGTGACTTCATGAATAACATTCCTGTAGGATATTTAAAAAAAATTAAACAAAAACTAAAATAGTTTTCTGTATATTTCAAACATGTCTACAGCTCTGGTAGATCACTCCAAAAACAAATTAGGTCCTTGAGATCAGCCAAGGCCAACTAGATATTGTCACTTCATCAGGCAATACTAAATATGTCTATTTTGCATCTTTACATACAATTTGACTTTGAATTGATTTCGCAATGGCTCCCCTCAAATTCAGAGAGCAAAATGACACATCAACAATCATGTACTTTAAATAGAATTTTAGCAATCTGGTTGTTTGGGTAGACTACAAGCATGAAAATGCACAGGGGTGTCTATAAATCAATACAGTGGCCATAATTCTGCAATCAAAGCTCAGTTCATTCTTTTTGGGTGTGTCACATCTTTGACACAGGCTAAAAAAAATGGGTTGAAGTTCACACCATCACGGTTGACTCTTTAGCTTTTTGGGGCCACATCCTGCAGAGATCCCTGAAAATATATTAGCTCTCGCATATTATTATATATTACTTTACCCCATAGTAAAGTAAAGGTAAAGGTTTCCCTGCAGATGCAAGCTAGTTGTTTCCAGTTCTAGGGGCAGTGCTCATCTCCGTTTCTAAGCTGAAGAACCAGTGCTGTCCAAAGACGTCTCCGTGGTCACGTGGCCGGCATGACTAAACGCCAAAGGCGCACGGAACGCTGTTACCTTCCCACCAAAGTGGTCCCTATTTTTCTACTTGCATTTTTTACGTGCTTTCGAACTGCTAGGTTGGCAGAAGCTGGGACAAGTAACGGGAGCTCAACCTGTTATGCGGCACTAGGGATTCGAACCGTTGAACTGCTGACCTTTCGATCGACAAGCTCAGCGTCTTAGCCACTGAGACACCACGTCCCCTTGTACCACATAGTACCACATAGTAAAATATCAATGCAAAATATATTGATTCATATATTTACCCAACTTGTTGTTAAAATACAACATATATTAACATAAACTCAGGTGAAATTCTATTCTAAATCTGCATGTTCTGTTTCAAAGAAATATAATATAGAATTAGGTTTGGATTACAACTTCTATAATTTCTGATCACTGGAATGCTAGTTGGAATCAAAACACATGGAAGATTCTTGCCTTAGCACTCGGTGGTCAAACATTACCAATGACCCTTTGGTAGAAACATTTCATGTCTATTTCTTTATAAATCTGTTCTATCCTATTTCTGGATTTTAAAAAGAATTTATTGATTGATTGATTGATTGATTGATTGATTCAATTTATATGCCGCTCTCCTCCGGAGAGTCAGGGCGGCTTACATGCGTTAAGCAATAGCCTTCATACTTTTGTATATACCTGCTTAGTAGGACTTTTGCCCCCCCCCCACTAAGCGGTGTTCTTTTTTATACAAAGTCAGCTTATTGCCCCCACAATCCGGGTCCTCATTTTACCTACCTCGGAAGGATGGAAGGCTGAGTCAACCTTGAGCCTGGTGAGATTTGAACTTGCAGTAATTGCAGGCAGCTGGTGCTACTTAACAGCACTTTAGTCTGCTGTGCCACCAAGGCTCTTAATAATAACTCTATTTAACAATAATTCTATTTAAATCAATATTTGATTATGTCGCCCTTCCAAAATATGCCTCTCTCTATATATTTTTTAAAAAGCCTTTATAAAAGTATCATATATTAATAGATACTAAAATAATGTTCATTTTGGCATTTTTAAAAGTTCATTGTAAAGTTCAAAGACAGGCAAAATCAGGAGGATGTTAGATTGATCTGTTCATTAGTCCGGAAAGCCATGTTCTTTCCTTCATTCAGATTTTGAAATGTAGGCCAACAAAATTAAATTAATCCTTAAGCATTTTTAAATTTCAGACTGAATATTTTTTTGAGACGAAAAAAATTGACAAAGGGTATAAATTCAATTGAAAAGTCTTATAACTGCAACTGAATTTTTCTTTTTCAGGGTGAACTATATTTTCAATTTTTGCCTCTTCCAAATTAATCTGACCTACCAGATTCACAGCTAAGCTATCCATATTCCTTCTGCTTTTAAAAATTCCCGGAAAATACCCAATTTAAGAAAGATAATGAGCACTGAGTGTAAGCAATTGAATTCAATGGGGGCTGCCTTTAAGCATACATGTACAACAGTGGTAGGTTGCTCTTGGTTCTGTCCGGTTCTTTAGAACCGGTAGTAAAAGTGGCGGGAAGCTCCGCCCACCCAGCCGGACGTCATAATTGACGATCTGCGCATGCGCAGAAGCTTCCCGTTGTGAATCAGTAGTAAAGGTAAGTAGAACCCATCCCTGATGTACAAGTGTGAAGATAGTTTGAAAGGTGTCTTTTGAAAGAATACGTTCAAATCTATTTTGAAAAATAATGTATTTGGAAACACCTAATTTGGGAGAGGCTATATTATATATAATATGCACAATATAATATGCATATAATTCCACATTTCAGTGCATATTTGCTATTCTTCAGAGATTAAGGAAGAAATAGATAGATTAGACTGACGGATGAGCAGCTGAGAAGGTAACATGTTATCAGAAATAGATAAATCCCCCCATTCTTTTTCTGGAAGTCACCATCCATGAAAAACAGGGCTTTTATCTTCCAGAATGACTTTTCATGACAAACGCTGAAGCTATCGCTGTTTCTTTTTCCCCCACGAGGCTACCCAGGGCTGTCGATTTTAAGTATCAAAATTTAAAGACCATGAAGTGTATTTTTATTAGCACGAGTTGTCTTTTATTAACAACATTCCTCAAGTTCCTTTGGCAGATGGGACTGATAAAGCAATCCATAAAGTCAATCCTGCTTTTCTTTTTCTTTTTTCTTTTCCTCCCCCCTCAGCGCCTGGGATAGAAGCTGTTTATGGAAATTGTGGTGCTCCTTTGATGAATGCATCAGACCTGCGATGAGGTGTCGTGGCTTAGAAAATGAGACAAGGAGGCAACGTATTAATATTGTCAATGATCTCTTGACAGCCAAACAGAATCCTGCCGTCACCATCCCGATTTTAAATAGACATCAAGTGTGTACAAGACAAAAGGCCAGGCTTTCCAACAAAAGGCGATGATTGGGTAGAGTGCCTCTTTGGACAATAACTTGATCTGAGAAGACACTGTCAGGATTCGAGACAAGCCTGGAATTGTGTGCGGTGACAGAAAACAGAAACGCAGGTCAGAGATACTGGTGCTGAATTGCTCCACGTATATTCTAACACTGTCGCCGGCGCTAACATAACCTGACATCCTTTCCTATCACTTAGAATATTCTTTGTGGTTCCTGCAGATTTCTTTTCTTTTTTTCTTCTCTCGCTCTTCCTTCCCTAGACATCATTACAAACTCCAGTGTTGTTTCTGAAGTTCCTGGCAGGCCTCCGCTGTCACGGGGTTTTCAATCCGTGAGGCCTAAGGACAACCTCAGTCAATCTAAATTTGGAATTTGTGGCAGAAGCGCTCTCGTTTTCAGGGCGATCTCGGCGACTTGAGGTGATCTGAACGCCAAAGTGTGAGGAGCTGTCACCTTAAATAAAGTCCTTCGAGGAACTCAGTTCCAGGGACGTTGGGCAAAAGGAGGTTGGACAGTCTGCCAGCACGGAATGAAATCCAGATGCTGCTTCTGTGGTTGGCCTGAGGAGAAAGGGACTTGTGACTGTTAAAGCCAGCTGGGTTTTTTGTTTTTTGTTTTCTTTTTTCGACTCCTTCGGTCTACGGTTGTTTAAATTAATGAAGTATTGTGTTCAAGGAGAACACCTACTAAGGAGCCCAGCTTCAGTTCCATTATTGGGTGGTTTATGTTCACATTTTTTTTTGTGGTTTTTTTTTTTCCCCCCTCAGAGGTCCCTGATAAAAGCAAAGCTAAAAACAGTCTCAGGCGGGAATGGCTATTATTTTTTATCAGGAAGGTTACGGTATTTGTAAAGCAATAATCTCCCTTATCGTTTCAATGAGGGTGACAAAGAGGCCTGCATCGTTTATACACAGAGAGGCAGACTCACAAGGATTTATGTTCACACACACAGAGAGACACACACTCATGCCATCCCCTTCCCACTCTTAGCAGCTGAGAAAACTCTGCAAATGAACCGAGCTGGTTGGCTTTAGGAAGAGCAGTTGGGAGGAAGGTCTTTCTTTCCTAATATTTCTCCTGTCAGCGATATTTTCTGGAAATAATTCCAGAAAACGTGTAGCAGAGAGAGAGAGAGAGAGAGAGAGAGAGAGAGAGAGAGAGAGAGAGAGGGAGAAATGGCCAACCTTTAATGACCTACGTGGCATTTTTAATTAAAATATCCAGCGCTGGACCTGATAAGCAAAGTATAGTTCCGATACAAGGAGAACTGGAAGCTCTTTTCTATCCAGGCTGCTGAAAAATGACAACATCCCCCTCCTCTTGAAGGATCATTCTTCTCCAAATGGAGCACCTAATTTTTCTTAAGTAGCCTCTTCCACCGTCGCCCAAAAGCTGTTAAAAGTATAATTATGAAAAAATTGCACGGGGGGAAGATTCATTTTTAAATACACTCTTTATCTTTTAAATGTTTTCCCCTCTGCGGAATGGATGTTCTAATTATACTGAGTAAGTAACAATCTCGCCATCGTTCGCCTGCGCGGAGATATCTGTCTCACTCAAACGTTATATCGGACTGTCAGGATGCAATGCCTACTGGAGTTTGGGGGGAGGTCGGGGGGGGGGGAGCAATTATCCTCATAAACAAATACATGCATACATACTAACACAAGTTTTTTAAAAATATTATGCATTAAAAATGAGCGTGCGGTGCTCAAAACTCTTGAATATTTAAACTACAATGTACACACTTGTTTGGAGGAAATAAAAAGGCATCCTTTCAGGGTATGAGATCAAATTTCCTTCCAATTAGTATTGAACGCTGGAACAATTTGAGATAATGGTGCCTTCAACATTCTTCTAAATAGAGAAATTCTATTCTATTCTATTCTATTCTATTCTATTCTATTCTATTCTATTCTATTCTATTCTATTCTATTCTATTCTATTCTATGGTGGGATTGCAGCCTCATGCAGCCCCCTGGGAGAGAAAATGGGCCATTGGGGGCGGCACCACCGCACCCCCATGCCGTGTTTTGGGTCTAGGAGGCCTCCCTGCACTTACCTATGAGCCAAAATGGGGCGCATGGGGACTCCTACAAGAGGACGGGAGGGGCCAGCCAGCAATTTAACTACTGGTTCTCCCAAACTGGCCCAAACCGGCTGAATCCCACTACTGATTCTATTCTGTTCAGTTCTGTTCTCCTCTCACATCTCCTATTTGTGATCACTTTACCAGCAGTTCAGCCTGGTAGAAGGCTGAAAGTAGATTAATGTCATAGGTACCCCACAAAAGATCTACCAATGTATTACACCACGGGTGTCAAACTCACGATGTCATGTTGTTGTCCTGTGGTGTATCATGACTTTTCCCCTTTTTGCTAAACTGGGGGTGGGCGTGGCCAGCACGTGATGCATCCGGCCCGTGGGCCACGGGTTTGACACCGCTGTGTTACATAAAAGACATAACAGTTTCTCCAAACAGAAATACTAATGCGATAAGGGATCTTCTTCTGAAGTTATGATCTACCCACAACAAGGACACACCGGGTCCAGCAATGAATGCAACAACATTTTGGTATTTGGGATCTGAATGACTTATTCCCTGCCTCTTCTTGTAAAGTTCCTAGAGCCTCCTCTAGGGAAGGGAGACAGATGTCCACAATTGCATTGGCTGTAATTCCTGTGACCAGAGAAGTAATGGGTGGAAAATCATTAGAGAGATCCAATTTAGGACTAAGGAGAAATTTCCTAACAGTGAAAGTAATCAGTGGAACAGCTTGCCTTCAGAAATTGTGGGTGCTCCATCATTGGAGATTTTCAAGAAAAGACTGGACAGCCAGTCTCCAGAATGGCATACGAGATCTCCTGCTTGAGCAGAGGGTTGGACTAGAACCATGATGGTGAACCTATGGCACGCGTGTCCATATCAGTTGGCATGCGAGCTCAGCTCCAGCACACATGAGTGCACCGGCCAGCTGATTTTCGGGTCTTCTGGGCCCACCAGAAGTAGGGAAACAGGCTTTTTCCTGACTCCGGAGGGCCTGGGAGGGGTGGGGAAGGCCCGTTTTTCTTTCTCACCTGGCTCCAGATCATCACTATGCATCTGGGAAGGGCGAAAACAGCCTTCCCCACCCCCTGGAGGTCCTCCAGAGGCCGAAAAAAGGCTGTTTAACAACTTCCAGTGGGACTGGAAGGCACGTTTATTTGCTGTCCCCAGCCTCCAGGGCCTCTCTAGGAGTCTGGGGAGGATGAAAATGGCCTTTCTCACCCCTCCGGAGCTCCTCCGGAGGCCAAAAACGCCCCGTTTGACAACTTCCTGTCCCACCCCTGCCCCCCCTTCCTGGCACGTAATGGCAAAAGGGTTAGCCATCTAGCCATGGACTAGAAGATCTCCAAGATCCCTTCCATCCCTATTATTCTATGTTCTAAATGTCCAGGGAGCTACTTTTACGATTTGACTGTAAAGTTCAGTCTAGGTGGGGGAACCCTTCAAATTATTTGAAAGCTTCAATTGATGCAAAATTAAACTGCTTAATCTTTAATCACCTGCCTGGAATTTTCCCTCTTTCTGTTTTAAAACAACTTTGTAAGTTATCATTTCGTTTTATTTTATCATTTTATTTCCAGGCCGAAGGCAAACAGTAATCCCCAGTTTTTAATCTAGAAAATACTAAGTAGTCTAGATCCAATGGTGTGCTGAAGGCAGCTCTCATAAGCTTAGGACAGTGATGTTGAACCTTTTCGGCACTGAGTACCCAAACCGGAACGCCCGCGCGCTGGAGCGTCAGACATCCGAAGACCAGCTGGTCAGTGAGCATGCACACTGGCCAGCTGGTCTCTGGGTTTTCAGCACTCTAGCACATGCGAAGATCAGCTGGCGACAGCTCACATACCCACAGAGAGTGCTCTGCTTCAGGAGTGGGTTCCACTTACCTTCGCTACCGGTTCGGAACTAAGACCGTGCACGTGCGAGGAACCTTCTGTGCATGCGCGGAACATCAGTGATGATGTCTGGGTGGGTGGTCACAGCCTCCCACCACCGCCACTACTGGTTCGCCCGAACTGGGGCGAACCGGTAGAAACCCACCATTGCTCTGTGTGCGTTGTCTTGCATGCGTGCCATAGATTCGCCATCACGGGCTTAGGAAAACCTCAAACGTTGCACATTGGTTGAAATCAAAGGCTAGCCTTGACACACCTAACATGCCAATGCGTGTGGACTTCAACTCCCAGAAGTCTTAAAGCATGCCGGCTGGGGAGTTCTGGGAGTTGAAGTCCACCTATCTTAAAGTTGTCAGGTTTGAAAACATTGAAGGAGGCCAACAGAAATTGCAATAATGGTTCTGTAAAAAAACAACTCATAGTCAAGCTGGTGAGCGATTAAAAGCATTTCAGTATTTCCATTGCAGTATTTCCACTTTGGATGAAATGGGTGTCCTTTCTCTAAAAAGAAATATATATAAATATGGGGGGAAACAGATGCCCAAGAATGTTATTATTAAACAACTTAAAACTCTACTTATAACTGTGTCTGGCTAGGTTAAGGTTTAATTTGACCTAGACCAAGTGCATTGAAGGGAACAGACCACTAGATGTTTAAATAATCTACCATACTATGCCAGAGTTCTTTTATGTCATCATGATGTAGTCAGGCCACAAACAGTGGTTTGCTTTCTTTGACCCAGGCTTAGACATAGTTTAAAGGCTCCCTAATGCATTAAGGATCTGAGCCATTTAGGTTAGCAGATTAAAGGGAAGGGGGGAAGAAGCACGAATGTTTCCATTACACATACCCTTGCGTGCAGGGAAACAAATAACGCACTGTGCCTTAGATGTCACACAGTACTTCATTTGCAAAGAGAACAAAAAGCGGCTCTTCCTTCTTGAATGACAATGCTGTGATCTTTTGCGTCTGCTTTCTACAGATCCAGGAACAGAGGTCCTTTCAGAGAAATTATTGCAATCATTTGTAAATAGCTGGGTAGAACTTTGTAGGAAGGCCTCTGTGGTCTCTCTCTCTCCCTCCCCCTCCCCCCTCTCTCTCTGTGTAAAAAGATTGCATGTATACATTTTATCTTCTTAAGGTCCAATGTGAGCTAATGGGATG